TTAAAAAAAAAAAAATTATACTAAAAGTTAGAAAATTTTAAATAATTATTAAATAACTATCTTAGCTGAAAATTAGTTTAAATATTTAAAAATTATATTATGTAAAAAAAATAAATGATAATTTAAGTGATATAATGAAATGTTTCAAGCTTTTACGATTAATATTTTTATAATTATTATAATTTATAACTTATAAGAAAATCAAACTTGACAAAAATAATCAGAGAATAAATCGTATATTATAATATACAATTTATATATTCTATGATTTTTCAATAATATAAAAATTTAAACTTCATTTGCACAAAAACTCATTTTACTAAAAAGGTTTTGAAATTTTTCTTAATTATAATTATTTTAAACAATAAAAATTAATTTATAATTTTTTATACATAATATAATAATATTGGGAATCAGCTGAATATTTTAAATAATTATTTCTTTCAATTCTCTAAGCCATTAACATTGTCAGATATTTTAGAATAATAATGTAAAACAAAAATAAAGTTACACGTATGCGTTTACGAAAAAATATTATATTGATACTATTAAGTGAGCACACCGCTTACTTAATGTATACTAAAAACTTTGGATGTTGATATCTAATCAAGAAATATTTATAAAATTATTAGATTTAAAAAAGTATATTTAAATGCGTGCCAGTAAAGGTATAAAGCAGGGATCACCAATTAATATTTTTGAAGGTCACATTAGGAATTTGAAAATTTTTTGGGGGCTATTAAAATTCTAAGTACATATTTTTAACATATAATAGGTATTATTTTAAAATTGGATGAAATGAGAACATATCATGTTATTAAATATATGTTACTTATTCTGTCTACGATCCAGATAAAATGTGTTCGGGGGGCCGTAATGGGTTGCCATTTGGTGACCCCACTGGAATAAAGAGTATTAGATGAATCAAATTATAAATAAAACAGCAATTATCAAAATACTAATGATGTGAGCGCGGCATTCATCACAATACCACTAATGATGGGTTAAGGCTCTTTAATAATTATTTGTTAATTTACTCATTAGTCATTATTAATCATTAGATTAGAGTATTATATTTATTTATCTATATATTATAAACTTTGGCCTGGTCCAAGTACCCTATTGTAGGCCTTCCCATCTACAAAATTTGTTGTCATTAATAAATTGAATGATTAGCATTGCCTGTTATTATAAATTATATTAGATCTTACTTGTCCTCTTTTTAAGCCAAAGTAACGAGAAACTGGATCACCAACTTGAATTCTCATAAGCTGGTTTTCCTTTAATTTGCTGATTTATTTTTAGTTAAAGAAAATTATATACATATAAGTAAAATTATTATACTAATATGGTTTTTCAAAAACAAATACTACAAAACTTCTCACTATAAACAACATGTTAACACACAAGAACTAGTAATCATGGTATATAATAACAGCAGTACAATATTTGTTGAAACATGACACATTAATGTAGTAATACATAATTATAACCTATATCAAATGTAGGGTAAAATTATTATATTTGCACATACTCATACAAAATAAAATAAAGTATTAAATTATAAAACATGAAGTTTTTGTATCCATCTAATTAGAATAACTAGTACTATAGTAACTGTATACTAGTAAACAAATAAAGGATAGAGCACCCTGTTAAAGTTTTACAATAACTATACACTTAGTTCTTATTTATTAGTATAAGCATAATTTCTCAACCTAAAGATCACGTATATCTGAAAAAATTAAACTTTTATATATAAAATTTCTCATTTGTACAATTAAATAGCAAAACACACATAGCACATTTAATATTTATTGTTCTACTTGGTTTTAATAATAAAATGAAACTGATAGTTGTTGAAACATAATAATGCGTATGATTAAAAGTAGATATCTCCTTAATAGATGCAGGCATTCCATCACCAACAACTCTTACCCACTCATTCATGTATAAATGGTATTTATTATTAGTTATAAAGCGGTAAAATATTTGTAACTGGTTAAACCGATAATAATGCTTAAATTAGTATTTATTATAAGAGGGACTTTATTTTTGTTCTATATTGTGGATGGAAGCACTTTAAAGGTTGAGAAACTATAAGTATAGGATTTATGCTTCTGCCTCTTTCATAAAAATAAATTTTGAATTAGCAAAAGAGCAATAGACAAAATGATTAAGTCGAGTAGTGAAATTAGGGCCAAAATGTTTAAGGTTATACCAATAATACAAATGGAAAATATTCTAATACATTTTACCTTTTTACCTAGTATTTCTATTTTTAAATTTTATATTTGTATTAATAATTCATTACTTATACAATGATGTAGAAAGATGTATTTCAGTATACTCAGTGTACTATAAAACAAATTGTATAAATAATTTAAAAAGGATACTATCTGCATAAAAGTTCTTGTTTCTCATCTGGTGTCAAAACAATGTGTTCAGGTACTAGTTCATGTTCAGTTATATTAATTAGAAGTTCAGATTCCAAAAACTGTTCCAATATGTATTTAGGAGCCATATCGACTAAAGACTAAAAAAAAGTAATACAATAGAAATCATTATTATTATTGCTTAATGAATTAATGTGTTAAATATAACAAAGTATCATTTATTTTTTTGAAAAAAATAAAAAATAAAAATACAAACTAAATTATAAGTAATATTATATCAAGCTAATAATTTTCATAATCTATACGTAAGTATTATTTATTTTCAAAATTATTATTATTACAGAAAAATGGTTTTAGTAATGAAATTATTAGCTTTTTATAAATTTGAGATTATTAAGAATCAAGCATACTTGTTTTGCACTTGGAGTCATTCCTTGTTGAACAACAATAATGGCTCGAGTAATGGTTTCTTCTTGCATTCTCTGGCAGTAAGTTTTTATAGTTTTTATACCAATTTTTGGTTCTTCAGGAAAGAAAACAAACATTTGATCTAAAATTGATAATGAATTATTAAAATTTTGAAATTGCATAATATATTACTTTCTATACCTGTAGGATCATCATTATGTGCCACAAGCACTATTAAATCACTACGCCCAGGTCTTTTTTCACTGTAAAAACATGCATTTAAATAAGTTAAAATCTAGAAAGGAATATGAAAGCATGTATATATATATATATAATATTATATTAAGTATATAATATTGAAGTACATTTTTAAAATATTAAAATTTTCACAAACCTTGGTTTATCGCCAAATTGTTCTTTAAACTGTTCTAAGGTTTGATCCAATTCATCCTGTGTGACTAAATAACCTCTGTCATGGCAAAGCTATAATAAAACATGATTATAATTGTATTCCATTGGACAACAAGAAATATTGAATCCTTAATTGTATCTAATCAAATTAATATTAAATTCATGGATGTGGTATTGTATAAAAATTAACTAAGCTAACACAACTATACCACATCATTATAGTTCTTTTTTTTCTTTTGATAAAATGTCAATTTCTTAATTGCTCAGAAGCTTCTATAAAAATAAAAACTATAGTTTGATTATTATACTAGACTAAAACTGTAAAAAGTGTATATTTAGTAAAGATAGGATTGCCTAATTATAATTTCAATATCAATACATTCTTATTGCTGTTTGTGCATTCACACAAAACTTATGTGTGTTGAATATTCCAATTCTGTCAGTTTATTGTTCTCCACAGTTTTTAAAGAATAAAAATGCATTTTAATATAATATGGAGGTCTATTATAAACATAACTTTGCATACCAGGGAATATATTTACTTATAATGTTGAGCGTTTATGGTAATTGAACAAATAACAAAATAAAAGACAATCAGGTTCATGTCAATTTCTTTGGTGACGAAAAATATCAAAATAATAACTGTTAATTTACTCAAATTATAAAAGACATTATTAAATTTATGCCTACTTCATCAATATTTTTATTTTGTATTTATATTCATATTGAACATTTAATCACATTTTATTTATTTTTTGAATTATTATTTATAAAACAGAAAAGGTATAATTATAACACTAGATAGATTTATTATTTAAAAATAACACAGAGTAGTATAACAAAATATCACAACTTCCAGTTATTGGAGGATGATAATTGAAAAGTACCCGATTTATTTATTGATTTGTTTATTTATTTACTATATTTAACAATTTTACATAAATATTACAGATCATCAATTTGGTCACAAATTGAGTGAATGAATTCAATTAATTTATTGAAATCTTGAAATTATAATATTATATGATATAATTTGCTTATTTACTATTTATTTCAAGTGAGCAAGTGAAAACATTTTTCTCAATACTCAAAAATTGAGTATTTGGTATCTGTCTATTTTAGTTTACAGGATATTTAGTACACAGTAGTAACCCTGTAATATGTCCACTGATAATCAGAATCGTCAAGCATTCCAAGTGTGTTCTTGATATTATAGATTATTTTGTCATGGTCATTTTCTTACCTGCATAACGGTTTTTCTAATACGCCATAGTTTGTATGATTCACACTCATCATCCATTTTGCAGTTTACAAACGTAAAAATAGCCTCACGACTTACGGTTTGTCACAGAATAAACGTTAAACTACAACACTACAACAGCACTACACCGCAGAGGTAAATGCCAAATTGTAGACTAGCCACTAGACTATAGTATTATCTACAATCACAGAACAATACAAGCGTGCACATGTAAAATGATAACAAGTTGCTAACTTCATATGTACATAACATAAGAGTACCAATAGTAACTGCCACGGATTCAGAAGATTTAAAAATAAAAAATTCAAGTATTTCTAATGGTATTTGTATTTGTATTTGTTTTCTATAGAACTATATCTGTTATGTCTTTCAAAAATAATTGTTGAGCTGTAATAGTTATACTGAAAGCTAATAAAAAAAAAAAAAAAAAAAATAAAAAAAATACTAATTCTAAATATTTTCTTTTTAGCTTATTGTCTTATTAATACATTTGTTTGGTCTATAGATAAAAATATTGGATCTTCAACTGCTGCTGATGTAGCATGTTTAGGTGATGGTGGACAGGATGGAGTTTTAGAACATGATAAAAGTATTGTATTTGCCACATTAGAAGTTTGCATGTGTTTGATTGTTCGACAAATACCAGATATGAATCCAACACCTTTAGTGTCTTCAACTAGAAAATTACATTCAAATTGTTTAAACCATAATGTTATTGCTACAACATTAAATATTATGGCCCAGCTTCCAAATATTTGTTCTCTGAGTGATAAAGTGTTTACTATTTTTACATGCTTAGTAATAAATAATAATAATATAAATTATGCATTATACACATTAAATTTTATTTGTAGGAGGTGTTCAAATACTTCCAACAATTGCATATTTAATAACCAATGTACTGAAAGAATTAGGAGACACTAATGGTTCTAGTGAAACATCCAAAAATAAAGTTTCTATTTTAGCTGCACTGGATGCTTTTCATGTACTCTGTAAACATCCTTAAATCCTTTTGGATATCACAAAGTATCTGAAAGCAAATGGAAGTCACTCCTACAGAGTACAATTGCTAAATTGATTGATATATCTTAACTGGTAATTATATCATTAAACTATTCATATCAATAAATTAGATAAGAAAAATAAACTGTTTTTCATTAATTGTATACAGGAGCAGTGGCGGCGCCAGAGTTTTAGTACCAGGTGGGCCAGGCTGGGGCCAAAATTTTTTAAGTTGGGCCAAATTGTTGACTTGATATTTATATATATATATATATATATTATATGAACAATAGTGATGACAAGCACTTGTGAAGGGGGGGGGGGTTAACCCCCATCGCTTAATTTTTTTTTTACACTTCATCGTGTAAACTTACTAAAACAATGATTTGTAAACATGTATAAAATAATCAGTATTTATTTCCTAACAAAATATCTATTCATGTTAACACTTTTTTAATTTTTAAAACCCAAAATTACACTTAATACTAAGCACGCCATCAGGCATTAATTGTAGTACAATTGAGTCCCTATAACTATTAAAAACATAACTACAAATATTTTAAACTAACAATAAACATTAGGTATATATTGTAATATCAAATCAAATAAACAATTTAATGAACATAGAACATATTTTATTATACATAAAATTAAAACAATATAAATATAATATTTTAAGATAAAATCATAATTATTTGTAATAGCACCCTGTGTGCTGAAACATTTTAAATTAATTAAATAATAATAATAAAAAAAAATGATAAAATCAAAAATAAATATGTTAAAGTTTAAATTGAACAATTTAAAATTTTTCATATTAATTATTTGTTATTTGTAATAAAAATGAATTGGAAAATATAATAAGAACAATAAGATAACAATAAGATGACAATATATTTTATAAGTACCTATAAAACTCATGTAGGTAAAATAAGAAAAACAGCAATAAAAAACATAATACATAATAATATAAGTAACTTATTTTAATATAATCCTTCTGTTGTTATGACATTCGGCAAAATTGTTAATTATATCATCAATATTTAATAATTTTGCCTCGGATTTTTCTATAGCAATTATACTTAAGCTAGATAAATTATCATGGAGCATAGAAATTCTCAAATATGATTTTATCCTTTTCATACATGAAAAAGTTCTTTCGCATGCTGCAGAAGATACAGGTATTGTGATTGCAATAGTACATACCTAACTTGTATAATTCAAAAAATGCTAATTGATAATCCAATAAAAATGTATGAAATTGAAATATAGTTTTTATAGAATGGTATTTTGCTTCAAATTGTTTTATTGATTTTCTTATAATGTTTAATTCAGAATCTAAAGTATCTATATCACACATATAAGATAAAGCAAATGGATGAATAAGTTTTTTATTCAAAAAATTACTATTACTTGGGTCCAATACACTAATTCCCATCAATAAGTCTTCATTATTAGAAAATCTTTTATTTAGTTCAGCATTGATTTTATCTATAATAATTAAATAAAGGTTATTTCGAAAATCAGTTTCTGAACTTAATACTGAACTTTCTAATGAATTACCTTCAACTATATATTTTTGCAAATGTTTGGGTAATTTTTTAACTCTATTATTTTCTCTATTATGTGCAGAAGGGTGTTTTATATTTAATTTATTTGCCATTAATTTGGTTTCACTATATAATTTTGAATGATAACTTAGATCATTTCTTATTTCACAAAAATGTTCTTTAAGAGAATTCATTAATATAATTGCTTTGGCCATATCAGCATTTTTATCTTGTAAATATTTGGTCAATAAGTTAATTTGTGAAAGTAAATCATTAAAAAAAAGTAACAAATATATAAATTTAAAATCTATGTTCTTTAGTAAACCAGTAGCTTCTGAGGAACGTATACTTTTTTCATTTGAAATTTTGTATAACAATAACAATAAGTCAATAAAACTTCCAAAGTAGCTTTAACAGCTCGACATGTTAAAATCTGCCCGATTTTTAAAAAAGGAGACCCGCAAAAATGCAGTAACTACAGAGGTATTGCTTTATTAGATACGGCATATAAAGTCTTATCATATTGTCTACTTGATAGAGTAGTACCCAAGGCCGAAAATATAATAGGTGACTACCAGGGTGGGTTTAGGACCAATAGATCCACAACTGACCAAATGTTCATTCTAAGACAAATCATCCAAAAACATTTGGAATTTGACAAGGAGGTACATTTGTTATTTGTGGATTTCAGAAAAGCTTATGACTCTATACATAGAGAAAGTCTTTTAAACATTCTCAAAGATTTCAAATTCCCCAGGAAAATTATTAATCTCATTGGAGCCAGTCTCAATCATACAGATATACAGGTCAAGATAGGTAGCGTAACATCGCAGCCAACTAGAGTAACGACAGGACTTCGGCAAGGGGATGCTTTGTCTCCAGTGCTGTTTAATTTAGTATTGGAGAGGGTAATACGTGAGATGAACGTTTCGGAAGGAGTTATATTAGGACAGATCAGAATTGGAATGCTAGCATATGCGGATGATATCGCTCTCCTTGGTGAAGATTTAGATATGATAAAGAAATTGGGAAGTAATCTAATAAATACGGCAAAAAAAGTGGGCCTAACCGTTAATGAGGAAAAAACAGAGTACCTTGTGGCTAGCCGAAGAAATAGAAATGGCGGTCTGGAACAATATATCAAAATTGAAGAACTCAAGTTCAAAAGAGTGTCTCAATTTAAGTATCTAGGGTCGATGATATCGGAGGATAACGACATCAAGACAGAGGTGTCAACAAGGATACAACTAGCGAATAGAGGATATTATGGACTTGAAAAAGTCTTGAAATCGAAGGCCTCATCTAAAGCCCTAAAAATCAAAATGTACATGACTCTACTAAGACCAATTGTTCTTTACGGCTCAGAAACCTGGGCGCTGAGAAAAACAGAAGAATCAAGATTAATGATATTCGAGAGAAAAGTTCTACGGAAAATTTTTGGCCCCATATACGATAGACAAACGAATGAATGGAGAAAACTTCATAACGTGGAACTCCAAGGACTTTTCCAGAGGCCGAATATAGTTAGAGAGATCACCAAGCGGAAACTAAGTTGGGCAGGACATGCTTGGCGCAAACAGGGTACTTTAGTAAAATGGGTGATCGAAGAAGAGCCTAATGGAAAAAGACCACTAGGTAGACCTAAGTTAAGATGGGAAGATGGTGTGAAGAAAGAAGTGGAAAAGTTAGAGCCTGGTGTCAAGTGGAGAGAAGTAGCGGAGGACAGGGATAGGTGGCAAAGTTTAGTGTTTTCAGGATGGTCTTAAGGGCCGTAACTAAAAGAAGAAGGTATTGTTTAAATACTTTGTCAAATGGCGAAAACGAAAAAATCGTAGTAGTAAAACAACTTAAACACCAAACATCAACAGTTAAGAACAAAATCAACTGTCAAAATAAATGACAAACGACTTTTTAAATAATATAGATAAAATTCTTCGTCTTCACATGTACTCGTACGTTTACGATTGTTTAATAAAAATCGATCCATAATAATTAAACACAGAACAAAGTCAGCATTAAAGAAAATCAGAACTTACTAAATATAATATATTCTTAAGAAACTTGAACAAAATCAGTATATAACATGTCGAGACAATAC